CGGCCCGGCCGAGGTAACCTTGGGGTGCGGGGTCCCCTGAAAGACGAGGAGGGGCTTGCCAGTCATTGGCACGCGGATGCGGGTGGAGGGCCAGTAAGGGCCGCTGTCCAGGGGAAACGGGAGGCTTTTTTGTAGTTTTGTCTGACGAGGAGAGGGAGATCTGAGGCATCCAATGGGGCTGTGCGGAAGGAGCAGGGCGCTTGATGGGTGACTGTGAAGGTGGGGGAGAGGGGTCTGCGGTAGGCACCGCGTCTAGAAGTGAGTCCCCGGGAAGCTGGCATGTGTGTGGAGGCCGAGTGAGAAGGAGCCAGCCATGGGAGGCGGGGGAAAGAGTGCCCGTCGAGGGCGGAGCATTGCAAAGGTCCTGAGGCAGTAACAGACTGGACATGGTCTAGTGTGAAAGAAGATTAGTGTGGTTAGAGGGTGGTAGGTGAGAGCAGTGCTGGGAGATGAGTGCGGTTGAAGTTTTGACAGTTAAGCAGAGGCTTGGTAGGTGGAAAAGAAGGGCTGTAAGAGCGTAACAATCAAGCCAGTAAGGGCCGGGGAGTTAGCTCAGTGGTTCTGCCGCCTGTTTTGCAAGGGCAAGGTCCTGAGGTCCATCCCTGCTCATTTCCGACCCCTGAGCAGCTCGTGACAGTGAACAGGGACTCAGATGTGCACAGTTCGTGCACCCTGGACAGGTGTGTGAGGCCAGAAGAAGGGCAGGGAGGCGTCTTCTGTGGGGGCTGACAACACCACAGCTCGAGGGCAGAGGACTCCAGCGTGTAGTGTTGGTGTCTTGAGTGGAGGAGGCAAAGGTGTAACTGCAAAGGGCTTTCATTTCAAGCCAGGGCAGTGCAGACGCAGCCTGCGATCTGGAGTGATCGCCCTGGTAGGTCACCTGGGGACCTGTGAGACCCTGGTGGAGGAAGACGTAGGACCAATGGACGCGACGTTCCAGTCACCGGCTCCTGCACTTCTCATGAGCTCTGTCAGCTCCTGTGTCCAGGACGGATGTTGGGCTGACTCTAGCACTGAGGCATCCTCTGGTTAGCTCCTGTGTCTTCGTTTGGATACCTTCTCTTTCCTCCAATACTGAGGATTGAATCCAGGGCCTCTCCCATGCTAGGCAAGTGCTCTGCCACTGAGCTATATCCCTGTCCCTCCCCCTTTTATTTTCTTTTTGCTTTTATGAGACAGGGTCTTGCTATGTAGTTCGGGCTGGCCTTGAACTCTTATTTATCCTGCCTCAGCCTCCCAAGTGCTGGGATGCACCACCAAACCTGGCTTTTCCCCCCTCCCTTTTAAAAATTTTTTGAAACAGGCTCTTGTTAAGTTGTCCGGGTTGACCTCAGATGTGTGGTCCTCCTCCCTCAGTTGATAGCTGAGATTACAGAAACTCGAACACCTGTGGGTATGGGCAAGCACAACCTGGCTCCTTTGCTCAGCTCTTTGGATGGAATACCCACAAGCATTTATTTTCCAAGCTCATTTTTCTTTTAAATTTTATTTATTTTTAGCCAAGTATGGATTTACATCTGTAATCCCAGCACTCAGGAGGCTGAGGCAGGAGGATCCCATGTTTTTGAGGCAGCCTGGGCTACATAGCAAGATCTTGTCTCAAAAAAATTTTTTTGTTATGTCAGCGATCAAACCCAGTCCTTAGGTGTTCTAGGCAAGCACTTTACCACTAAGCCCCCAGCCACTTGTTTTCATTTTTAATTTTTTTATATTTAGGTACTGGGGATTTAAACCAGGACCTTCTCACTGGACTGTATCCCCCACCCCCACCTTTTTTTTTTTTTTCTTTTTAAATTTTGAGACAGAGTCTCATGAAATTGCCCAGACTGGGCTCAAGGTTGTCTCCTGCCTCAGCCTTGCATAGTGTTGGGATTGCAGGTAGGTGCTGCAATACCTGGTTTAAATTTTATTGAGTTGATTACATTTCTCAGTTCATTGTATGGTTTTTGGGGGTTTTGGGTTTCTTTGGTTTTTTTTGTTTTGTTTTGTTTTGTTTGAGACAGGGTCTCACTATGTAGTTGAGACTGACCTGGAACTCACTGTGTAGCCCAGGCTGGTTTAGAATTTACAGTGATCCTCCTGCCTCAGCCTCCCCAGTGCTGGGATTACAGGTGTGCGCCACCACAGCTGGCTCAGTTCATTGTATGTTTAATTGGTCATGCAAAGCCTTTTTCTTGTTTGCATTTATTTATGTATCCCCTTGTTACCATTCTTCCCTTCTCTCCTGTTGTGTGGAGGCCCAGCAAGAAGGAGCCAGCTGTGGGAGGTGGGGGAAAGAGTGTCAGCAAGGGACTCCCATATGTTTAGGCAAGCACTCTCATGTGTTTAAAATACTGTTTAAGCTCTGTATCTATAGGTTTGGCATTTGTGAATTCAACTGATCTTAGGTCAAAACTATGCAAAAAGCCAAGCCTGGTGGTACAGTCCTGTAATCATAGCACTTTTGGAGCCTGAGGTGGGAGGTTCACAAGTTGGAGCCTGGTCTGGGCAACATAGTAACTGTGCAAGCTCCTGTTTCAAAAAAGAAGAAAGAAAAGAAAAAGGGGGTTGGGCTGGAACGGTAGCTCAGTGCAAAGGCCCTGGATTCAATTTTTTGCTCAGTATTGCAAAAACAAGTACTGTGAGGTATAGCTTGGTGGTAAAGCACAGCTTAGCATGCCTGAGGCCCAGGGTTGATCCCCAGCACCAAAACACACAACACTAAAAATTGTATTTAAATTACAGGAAAGAAGGATGTGTGCTGGTTTTATCAAGTACTGTCCAATTTTTAAGAAATTGGAATACTTGTGGATTTTGGTATCCAAGGGTTTCCCCCAGCCAATTCCTCACAGACACCAGGGGATAATTGTACATCCTTTTATTTGGTGTATCATGTTTACCTTGTTTTGTGTGCATACTTTTTTTTTTTTTGGTCCCTGGCACTTGCGAGGCAGGTGGTGGAACCACTGAGCCAAATCCCCTGCCACGTGTGTATACGTTTTTAATTCACACAGCTGGTGTTCTGCCTTGACTTCATTTAATTCCTTGCCAAGACCATGATTGGGATTTCATTTATGTTGCTCTGGATGTATCTGGAGCCCAGTTTCTAAGTGTGCATGAACTGCCATGCAGGCTCCCCACGTCACCTTGGACCTGGATCCTCTGGTAACAAGGCCGCCATATCGTCTCCTCCTTGTCACAACAGACAGGGTGAAAATCCTGTGTCCATTCTCTTCCTCTGCCTCTTCATACAGCCTCATGGTATTGCCTGCTGCTCTTAGTTGGTGTCCGACAACCAGACTGTTTGGCCTTGGCGACATCCTGACCTTCTCAAGCCCTCTTTCTGGTAAATTGTGACTGTGGTTCCCAGACACTCTTGGCAGACGTTCTCTTGTCCTGCCATCTTCCCCAGCGATGGTTCTCACAGGCTGCATGGTTCGCTTCCTGTCCTTGTCTTCATTACTGGTTGCTGTACATTTATTCCAACCACAAGTATTTGCTGCTTTCCTGTGCTGGTGCAGCATTCGCTGGTCTGGCTGGTCCTAAGGGTACCTGAGGCACAGCTCTGAAGGGAAGGAGCCTTGGGGCACCCGCCTGGCTCCTGTTCCCACCCCTCCGCCTCCCGGCTGTGTGACCTTAGGCAGCTTATTTCACCTTTCTATGTCTCGTTTTCTCTTTGCAAAGCAGGGCTGATAGCCATGCTTACGTTATATGTGTTTCTGTGCGAATTAAGTCATCAGTTCACGCAAGTGTAGTCACTAGCTGTGCCTGGCACCTAATGAGCCCTTGTGAAATGGCAGCTGTTCATGAGAGCAGAGTCAGGGGTCACTCTGGATAGCAGCCCCTGTTACGCGGTGCCCATGGCTGCCCGCCCAGGGTAGAGCATTTGTTTAGGAGCAGCCGGGCAGAGCACTTTCCGGAAGCCACGATTACAGATGTTAGTGTGGTGCTGTCAGCACGATAAGGAGAGCAAGTGTGGGTCCATACGGTGGCCCAGGTGCCAATCCCTGTCACTGCCTTGTCTGGGAGGGAGACAGGGATTGTAGGGTGAGGCCAGGACTCGCGGGGTTCACTCATCGTTACTCTGCCTGCACAGAGCAGACAGCAGGCGGCCTGGCTTTGGAGGGATGGCGATGCAGCCCTTCCTTTCAGTCCTGTCGAGGGTGGAGAGGAAAACTGGCTGTTCTTGCCGACAGTCTGAGGATCGTGTGTTCGATGCCAGCGGCTGCTCGGGGAGGACGCAGGACAGGCGTGAGAAGGGGATGTCGGAGTGCAGTGGGCAAGGCAGGCACTGGGCAGGCGAGAGTAGAGGGAGCCAGGCCAGGCCGGCCAGAGCCAGCTGTCTGCACCCGTCTGCCCACACATGGGCAAGGGGAACAGAGGGTGGGCAGGGCCCCAGCAGTGAGTGCTGTGCGCGGAGCCGTGAGAGCGGCGGGCCAGGCCCGGCAGGCCGACGCGGCTGCGCTTCATTCACCACGCCATGTTGGCAGCTGCCAGCCATGCGAGGACTGTGTCCTGGCCACTGTCGCCACAGTACCTGGGAAACCAACCCCAGTAACTGTGAGAGAATGTACTGAAGCACACGGTAGGACTGCACGCAGTGCGTGGGTTTCTAGTTTGCTGTGTGGCCTGCTGACTAAAAGTGGAGATGAACAAAAATCGTAGGGTAAAAAGAGTTGACAACTGTCGTTTTCTCACCATGGTTCTTACCTGCATCTTGTCCTGGCCACCTAGCAGGGACCGATGGGAAGCTGTGGCCGGATGTTTCGTTAAGCAAGGACCTACCCAGGAGAGGTGAGGAGGAAGTCAGAGGTCTGGGAGCCCCCTCTGCCCCGGCCAGCTGGAGCTGACCCAGCCAACCCTCCACAGGCTGAGGAGCCATGGAGCAGTGTGCATGTGTGGAGAGGGAACTGGACAAGGTCCTGCAGAAGTTCCTGACCTACGGGCAGCACTGTGAGCGGAGCTTGGAGGAGCTGCTGCACTATGTGGGCCAGCTGCGGGCTGAGCTGGCCAGCGCAGGTGCGTGTCTGCCCGTGGACATGGGTGGCGGGCTCCTTTCGGATGGGGCTGGAGGGTGGTGGGCATCTTTAGGACTCCCAAAGGGCGGCAATGGCCGTCAGCCTCTGAGCTCTTCCAAATAGCCCACCAGGAGCTGGGTGCGGCCGCACACACCTATAAGTCGAGCGCTCTGAGAGGCTGAAGCAGGAGGATACTGAGTACAAGGCTGGCCTGGCTTCATAGTGAGATGCCATCTTTAAAAACAAAGCGGGAAGATACTATTAATTTACCTGAAATTGTTTCCATGCCCATTGTGTTCTTCGCCTTTTTATTTGCCTGCTTGTTTGTTTCCTGTCGATGCTAGGGACTGAATGAGGCCCTGATGCATGCTAGGCCAACACTGAGCTACATGCCTAGATTCTGCTTTTCTACTTCTAAATTTCAGTGACCTTTAAGATAATTTCAAATTTACAGGAAGGGTCCAAGAATAGTGTAAATAAGTCATATACTGTTCACCCAGGTCTGTCAAGCATGTGGCATTATTTGCTGTATCATTATCCTGCATATTTTTGTTACTTTTTAGCCATTTGAAAAGTCAGTTTACGTGTCCTTAACCTTCCAGTGTGTATTTCCTAAGATCAAGAGCTTTCTCCTATGTAAGTGCACTGTAATTATCAAAACCAAGGAATGAGACAGTGATGTAATATTCTCACTTAGTGACTGTGATTCAACTTTGCCACTGTCTCAGAGACTTGATTGACTGTGCTGGGGGCTGCTCTTTTCATTTTTTCTTTTAAGACAGGATCTCATTTAATTGCCCACGCTAGTGCTGGGGATTTAGCTCAGCAGTTTGGTGGCCTGCCTTGCATGCACAAGGACCCGAGTTCAATCACTGGTACCAAAAAAAAAAAAAAAAAAAAAAAAAAAATTGCCCAGGCTGCACTGAAACATTCTTTTATTTTGTCTCGACCTCCTGAGTAGCTGGGACAGTATGCACATATTACCATGCCCAGCTTTAATGTTTAAATTGTCTTAGATAAAACCAGAGAAAGCTGGGTGTGCTGGTGCACCGCTGTAATCTTGGCACTGAGAAGGCTGAGGCAGGAAGATCACTTTGGATTCAGGCAATCGTGAATTACATCGTAAAACTGTCTCAAAAAAAAAAAGAGAAAAATTTGCCAGGTGTGGTGGCGCACGCCTGTAATCTCAGCACTTGGGTGGCTGAGGCAGGAGGATTGCTGTGAGTTCGAGACCAGCCTGGGCTACATAGTGAGTTCCAGGTCAGTCTCAACTACGTAATGAGACCCTGGCTCAAAAAAACAAAAACAAAAAAATTTAACCAGAAGAACCCATAGTTCCAATGTCTTTGTTTGATCTATAAGTAACTTATTAAACTCATCCTTTTAGAGTATACATCTCAGTGGTTTTGAATTTACAGAGTTGTACATTCATTACTACTTTCTCGTTTGAAGATATTTTCCTCATTCCCAAAAGATACCAAATCCATTAACACTGATCTGCCCTGGTGACACTTTTCTCCTTTGTGCCTCTATATTTGCCTGTTTTGGACACTCCAGTTAAGAGAACCACACCACATGGGCCTGTCAGTCTGGCTTCCTTCATTAGCAGTGTTTTCGGGGCCCTTCCTGGGGTGTCTGGCCAGCCCCACATTCCTTTCATGGCTGTATTCTGTTGTATGGATACATCATATTCCGTTTATCCAGTAGGTGGTAGATGTTTGAGTTGTTTTGACCTTGTGGCTATTATCAATAATGCTGCTGTGAATACTGTTGTGTAAGTTTTCGTGGGAACGCATGATTTTGTTTCTCTTGGGAGTGGAATTATTGTATTACATGGTAACAGTTTGACAGTTAAACATAAAAGGGGCAGGGGATTTAGCTCAGTGGCACTATGCCTGCTTTGCAAGTGCAAGGTCCTGAGTTTGATCCCCAGTACCAAAAAAAAAAAAGCCAAACCAAAACAAAACGTAGAATGTATGGTAGAGCAAATGCGCTTAAAATGAGGTACTCAATCCCCAGAAAGAGCCAAATGGCCTGCATGTCACAGCAGCCTACAGGTGTACCCGTGAGGGTGTGAAATCACCGAGACCGCTGTCTCACCTGGCCTGTCCAGGCCGTGTGGTGCATGAGGCAGACCCTGGGGTCACTGGGGCTCAGGGCTGCCTCCTGCTTGCTACACAGGCATGTGGAGCAGAGGGAGAAGGGACCCAGCCTGAGGGAAGTGGGTGCTAGGTGTCCGAGTTGGCTGTTTCTTCACAGCTCTCCAGGGGACCCCTCTGTCAGCCACCCTGTCCCTGGTGATGTCCCAGTGTTGCCGGAAGATCAGAGACACCGTCCAGAAACTGGCCTCGGACCACAAGGACATCCACAGCAGTGTGTCTCGAGTGGGCAAAGCCATCGACAGAGTGAGCGGCAGGCCTGGGGTGGGGCCGCCCTGGAGATGGTGGGTGCGTTCTGCGGCATGGCGAGGCAAAGCCGGAGCTGGAGCCTTAGGGCCCTGTCTCCTCCTCCTCCTCGGCAGAACTTCGACTCTGAGATCTGCGGCGTGGTCTCCGATTCGGTGTGGGACTCTCGGGAGAAGCAGCAGCAGACGCTGCAGACAGCCATCGTGGAGCACCTGTACCAGCAGGGCATGCTCAGTGTTGCTGAGGAGTTGTGCCAGGTAGGGCCGGGCCGGGAGCCACTGTGCTTACCTGGTCATTTTCCCTGTTAGAGCGGAAAGCAGTGTTCTGCCATCAAGCAGGAGGTAGCTCTAAACACCGCATGATGAGTAGCAAATCTTCCGGTTTCCACTTAGAATTGGTTGCCACCAGGGTGCTGAGCTAAGGCCCGAGACCCCTTTATTAGTGAGATGACAGTAGCCCTTGTTGGGTGCTAAAGACACTGGCAGTGAAGTAGAGGAGGCTCCGCCTTGGCCTAACTAGGGGGATTGGAAAGGAGTCATTTCCTCACCATGCCACTCAACACTGGCCGGGGCCCATCGCCAGCCAGGGCTTCAGGTGTGGGAAAGCTTTGCAGTCCGCACTCGGGGAAGTCCCTGTGTGGCCCTTGCCTCACTGGAACAGAACCGAAATGGCTCCACCAGCGCACACCACCTGCCTCTCTGTGGGGTTTCTGTGCACCTAGCAGAATTCTGGAAACACTGTCTTCCGGTGGTGGATCTCTCTCCCCACAGGAATCAACACTGAGTGTGGACTTGGATTTTAAGCAGCCCTTCCTGGAGCTGAACCGAATCCTGGAAGCTCTACATGAACAGGACCTGGGCCCTGCCCTGGAGTAAGGAGCCCCCTGGGGGGTGCACTGCCTCAGGCTTTCGGGGCACAAGTCTTGTCTGTGCTCTTCGATTCCCCCAGATATGTTTGACCTGCCTCATCCATCTCAGGTCCTGACTGACCAGGGGTCCTTCTCCGCCCCCCAGCTCCACTAACCCAGCCGCTTTTCTCCCAGATGGGCCATCTCCCACAGGCAGCGCCTGCTGGAGCTCAACAGCTCCCTGGAGTTCAAACTGCACCGCCTGCACTTTATCCGCCTTCTGGCCGGAGGCCCTGAGAAGCAGCTGGAGGCCCTCAGCTATGCCCGGCACTTCCAGCCCTTTGCTCGGCTGCACCAGCGGGGTAAGTACCCATCTCTCAGGGGCAGCCTGCTGCTGGGCTCCGCAGGACGAGGAGTTGCCAGTCCCTGCCTTGACCTGGGGTTTCACTGCCAGGATGCGCAGTTTTAAAGGAAAAAAATGGTTCCAGGGATTCAGTCCTTAGTCAGAACATCCTGGTGGGAGGGTGTGGGGAGCACAGATGTTTAGCTCATGGCAGCCTGAAGAGTACCAGAGAGGAAGGGGGTGAGGGACCAGGCAAGGCCCCAAGGCCGCACCTCTGCGACCCGCCAGCCTCTCCTGGGTAGAGCTGACCCTCTGCCTTCACCGCCACTGGCTGTTGCCTCTCCCCACCCCAACCCTGATCCTTCATTGCCTCGTGAACCCCAGGCCCAGGGTCTCCCCCATCCATCTCCACCGTAACATGTAGTCATCTCAGACCAGCTTGGCCATAGCACCGTGCTCCCTGCTGTGTGCCTAGAAGGGCCCCAAGCTGCTCTCCACACACTGAGATCACTTTGGGTCCTGCCCCTAAGATGCTCATCAGAGTAACCTGTGTTACTTTTTCTTTCAACTTACTCATCCTTATTGCTTTGAAATTTACTCAAAACTAAACATGAGTGCCGAGGGTGTGGCTCAGGTGGCAGAGTGCCCAGTTAGTGTGTGTGAAGTTCGGGGCCTGATCCCCGCACCACAGGAATGAATGCGTGAATGTCATCAAGGTCAGAGTGGTTGTCACCTTTTTCTGGACCTGCCCCCTCCCAAGACTGGGACCTGGGGCAGAGGGACACAGCTGTCGAGTGAAGATGCTCGTGCCGACCTGAGGCGTGCACGCGATGCACTTGGAAAGATAGGTCACTCTGCCCAACTCCCTGTTGGCAGTGCTTGTCCTTGTATGGAAACTGCTGGCAGGCCCCACCTCCCCCTCGGTTTGAGACTTGTTTGCCTGAGGCCATTTCAGTCCCTGCTCAGTGTGCTGGGGTCTGGGTTGAGGCGCTGTGGACTGTACCCTGCACCCACTGAGCCGCCCAGTTGCCTTGTAGAGATCCAGGTGATGATGGGCAGTCTGGTGTACCTGCGCCTGGGCCTGGAGAAGTCTCCCTATGGCCACCTCCTGGACAGCAGCCACTGGGCAGAGATATGTGAGACCTTCACCCGGGACGCGTGCTCGCTGCTGGGGCTCTCTGTGGAGTCCCCCCTCAGCGTCAGGTACTGCACAGGGAGGGGACAGGGAGCCCCCCCACCAATCGGGAATGCCTGTTTTCACAGTGGGAGAGCAGAGGCCCCGCCTCTCCACCCCTCAGGCCTGGATTCCTGCTGGAGCCTCCAAGCTGACCCACAGTCCTGCAGCAGCCACCCTCCTCCCAGCCCCTCAGACACTCCTGCCCTTCGGGGATGACGCGTGTGGCTGTGGAACATGGGTTCACAGCTGGGCTTAGAAGTCTCACAGTAATACTCTTCACTCCAATTTAGCAACCCCAGAAGTTAGAGTTGGGTTACCCTCATTGTACAGGTAGTATCACCATGTGAATGGGCCTGCCAGTGCCCCAGGGAATAAAGGGCAGTTGTGACACAGGCCACACTCAGCGGCCCCATCCCAAGATGGAGACTGACCCTGTTCTCAGCTGCTTTGCCACTGGACATCTGTGTCCCAGAACAGACTGCCCAGCACAAATGTTACCAGCCCCTTGAGACTGTCGTGTGGCCCCGCCATGGCCACTGTGGGGTTTCTCAGCCACGGCTCCCTGTGCAGTCATCCCGAGGGGGAGGAGAGCCTGGCACACCAGGGAGGAGGCCCACCGTCTCTGGCTGAGCAGGCATCTGCCAGAGCTTCCTGTTGCCTTTCCCGGGGGTTGTCGGGTCTGAGGGTAATGAGAGTGGGCCTCAGAGTTGGGAACGCTAACTAATGTGGCACTTTCTGAGCGGCCCGAGGGGTCTTCAGGGACTGATGACCTCATGGCAGCATCCAGCCCTGTCTCTCGACTGCTGGACACGGTGTGCTGGGCCCTGTGGCCCTGGCCACTCCACTCCAGCCCCGGCTGTCTCCCGCAGCTTTGCCTCTGGCTGTGTGGCGCTCCCCGTGCTGATGAACATCAAAGCGGTGATCGAGCAGAGGCAGTGCACCGGCGTCTGGAGCCACAAGGACGAGCTGCCGGTGAGCCTGGGCCTGGCAGGGAAGGGGTCTGGCAGGGGCGTCACCAGCCGGGCAGGAAGTGGAACTAAGCTTTGTCGGCCTCCTCAGATCGAGATCGAACTAGGCATGAAGTGCTGGTACCATTCGGTTTTCGCCTGTCCCATCCTCCGCCAGCAGACGTCAGATTCCAACCCTCCCATCAAGCTCATCTGCGGCCACGTCATCTCCAGAGATGCGCTCAACAAGCTCATTAACGGAGGAAAGTAAGTCTCCTGGTCCCCGCCCTGCCCCGCGCCGCCTCGGCGGACACGCCCTGAGAGGCTCCTGCTTCTCGTCCTGTAGGCTGAAGTGTCCCTACTGCCCCATGGAGCAGAACCCGGCGGATGGGAAGCGGATCATCTTCTGATTCCCGGAGAGGGACTTTGCTGTTCCAGCCTTAGTCTGGCTCTGTGCTGGGACTGGTTCCCCGAGCGGGTGTGGCCGAGGGGCGTACGCGGGGCGGGGCCTGTGGCAGCGCGCTCCTTGGAGTGAGGGCGGATGCTGGCCTCTGCCCTCAGTGTTTGTCCCTGGTAGGTGGCAGCCCACAGACTAGCAGAGCCTTGGCCACTGACAGCTGACATTTCCCACCCCTGCCATCAGCCGGTTTCAGCGCTGCCACCAGGCCGTTCTCTCCTGCCCCACAGCCCAGGGGTGTCCAGCTGTGGCCTCTGCTGCACAGCCTCAATTGTATGTATCCGTCCCCCACTGTAAATAGCACAAAGTAGCTGAATGCCACTGTTTTATAACTGAGCAAATATATTCATAGCCCTTCTCCTTACTCCCGGCCACACGTGAGCTTAATGACAAGGAAGTATGTGTGCCTGCTGCACTCAGGTCCTGGGCATGGCCTTTGCTGCTAACAACTCTGGCTAGGCAGTGTCCTCTGGCACCTGAGTGTCCCGCACAAGACACTTCTCTGTGTACTTGTATAAAGTCTTACTAGAGTCAGTGGAGCGGATTTAGGAAGATAGGAACATGGAATCGGAACTCAGCTCTCTTCAGTTGTGTACTGGGTCCTGTGTGGGCCACTACTTTAGGGGAGATTCATGTTCCTATGCAAAATGTACCGTGTAGCATCCACAGTGGCTTCTAAGGCTCCTGGGGGACATGGGAAGAATGGGGTGTCTCTGGCACAGGAGCCGCAGTGCAGGTGTCTATGCAGCAGCACCCGAGTCTTGTTGCCTTGGCTCACAGCCCCATCTCCGGGACGTCGAGGTAGGGCTCAGGAGGGCAGCAGTCAGTGCACAGTTGGAGCCGAAGCTCGGGCACTGGACAGCCAGCACTGTACTGAGTGCTCTGGGGTTCTTTTATTCTCTGGTGAGAAAGGTTGCTTCTGCTCCTTCTGGCCTGCCAGCTCTTTGGCCCAGCCAGCAGCTGCTGCATGCCGCTCCCCCTCAAAAAAGAAAAGCCACCCACAGATTCATCAGATGTCAGTCTCAGCCTTTACTTCCCACCCTGCACTGGAAGGCCGTCATTTAAGCTCAACAGGAAGTGGCTCTGATGGAGAAGACTGGCTCTACTGTCAAGAAACCGCTAATGAAGCTGGCTGGGAAGAGGAGGTGTGGAGCGTGAGCAGCCAGCCCAGCCACTTCCGCTGAGTCCCTCACAAGGGCGGTGGCAGGGCCTGCACCTCCTCCAGGCACTCATCGTAGGCCTCCTGGTACTCCTCGTGCGGCTTGACCATTATCACACAGGTGGGGCGCTTGGAGCCTGCAGCAGCACCCAGGTCCTGCAGAGAGCGCAGAGGAAGGGCCATTTGGAGAAAGGACACAGCCAGTGTGTCAGGGAGCGCCCACAGGAGTGTTGTGCCCGGTAGGCACCTCGTTTAAAAACTTCTCCAGGGCCCGGGATTGAGCTCAGTGCTGCCACCACCTGCCTCATAAGTACAGAGACCCAAGTTGGATCCCCAGTACCCCCAACCAAAAAAATATCTCCAGGAGGTTACCACCATTTCAGATCTTTCTGGGGACTGAACCCAGGGCCTGTACACTAAGCCAGCCCTTTAAAACTTATTAATGGGCTGGGATGTAGCTCAGTGGTGCTGTGCCTGCTTGGGAAGCATAAGGTCCTGAGTTCCATCCCCAGTACCAAAACAAAATTATTACTTTTGAGACAGGCTTTTAGTAAGTCACTAAGTGGCCCAGATTGGCTGGAACTGGGGAGCTTCCTGTGAACCTGCAGGGCACTGGGATTACAGGTGCACCCACACACACCCTGCTCACAGAAACTCCAGCAAACTGGGGGGCCCCGGGCCCGGCAGCACTGGGCACTTTCATATGGCTGGTCAAGGGCTCCAGCACAGAAGGGGTAGTGTCCCCAAGCCTCTGCCTCTGCCCATGCCCTGTGCCTGGACGCAGCTTCCGTGAGGACAAGGGCCCTAAGTACCCGCTCTGTGTATGAGCCCATGTACAGGGCCTGTGGGCTGCAGCAACTGAGTTGACAAAGCACAGTCTGTCCTCTTGCTTTCATTTGTGTAGCCCACAGAGGGAGGGCCCCACAGTGGGAAAAGGAAGCTCCAGCTATTCAGGAGGCTGATAAGGGGACTGGGAGTCCCATGCCAGCCTTCGATACCTACCACAACCCGTCAGGCACAAACAGCTGCAAACCCAAGCACAGAAAGCGAACTGATGCACAGCGCACAGCTAGGAAGCAGTGGGCCCAGATCCCCCTCCCTGGGTGGGGCTCCGCTCCTTACCGTCTTGGAGGGGATATAGACATAGGGCAAACTCCGGTCCTCGCACATGACTGGCAGGTGGCAGTACACCTCGATTGGTAACGTGTCTCCTGCTAAAACCATGATCCTGAAACAGAAATCGCTGCTGTGTCTAGCTCACTCCTTTCCCTCTTTTGGTCCTGAAGTGCTACCTCCCGGCCTGCTCTGCTCCTGCTCTGGGGTACAGAGGTGAATAACACCTTGCCTGCAGGAGCCCTCTACTAACAGCCCCGGGGGTGCAGACGCCCTCTGCTGGGGAGGGGAGCCCCACCTGACACGTCAGTGCTGCCAAGAGAGGCAAGGGGTAGCGTGCAGGGAGGAGGGCCAGGGAACAACAGCCTTCCTGATGCCAGGCACACCACAGGGGCAGGGGGTGGTGAGAGCACAGGTTGGGGGAAGATGTGGGGAGGCCTCTGGAGTCCAGGAGGGGAGGAAGCACAGGCAAAGCTGGAGATGGGCAGGTGTCCTCCGGAGGGCCATGAGTGCCAGGCTAAGACGCATGCCTGTGTCCCAAGAGGGGAGAGAGGCAGGCAGGCCAAAGGCTGCCACCACTCCAAATCCCTTCAGCCTCCCAGACTCCTCAACTGCCTCCTCTTCCTTCCGTAGCTCTGGCTGCTGGTGTCCTCGCAGCCTGCCCTCAGCTGGCTTCTGCTCTGTGCTTTCCTCCTGGTCGACCAGTCAGCAGCCATGGCGTCAGGATTTTTCCCAAATCCACTCTCCAGCTTGGCCCAAGCCCAAACGTTGTCATCTGTCTACTTGACAGTGAAGCTGGACGGGGCAGGGGTTGTATCTCCAAGGTACCTCAAAACTCATCTAAAACCAAACTGTGGCTTTTTTTTTTTCCTTTTGGCAGTACTAGAGGTCAGACCTCTAAATTCACTGTGCACAGCTGAACATCCTCTCACCCACAGACTTTAAATCCGTCTCCAACAGCTCTTAACCCACACCTGCTCATGCCTTGTTAGTGCTTTTCTCAACCACCTGAAAAATCTTTTCTGTGGTACTAGGGATCCAACCCAGGCCTGCACAGTAAGCTACATTCCCAGCCCTTTTTTATTTTCTGAGATGGGTTCTCAGCGTCACTAAATTGCCAAGGCTGTGCTCCAACTTGTGGTCCTCCTGCCTCAGCCTCCCAGAATGCTGTGGTGATGAGTGTGCACCACACCTGGCCAGAAAACCTGAAGGAGTAGAGTAAGTATAGTTACCTCCTGGCTGGGGCCCCCACAGTTCGGAGAAGCTACTCACTGGCTAAAGAGGGCCCAGCAGAAGGCCCACCACTCTTCTCCAGAGACCCAGTCCTCTGGAGAACCCGGTTCTCCCAAAGAACACCTGTGTCCGGATCTTGGCTCGAATGGGGCTGCTCTGGGAAACCCCTTCAGCATCCTCACCACCGCCAGCTACAACTCGGCTGCATTTCACTCCCCAGCATTCATTCCCTCTGGGTCTCTGTCTGGCCGGGCTGGCACCCAAGCCTCCCACATGCTACGCAAAGGCTCATAGCACCGATGGGTGCCAGACTGCGGGGCACCGAGTGGGCAGGCTGGGCGCCGGGTCTGAGTAAACACGGAATAGTTGCACATGAACCTCAGACTGCTAAAGGCCTGAAGAGAGTGAAGCCATCCCCTCTGGAGTTCGCGCTCTCCTCGTGGATACCTGCAGACGCGCGACCCCTTGTGTGGTTGCCTGGTCCAGGACGCGGCCGCCCGGGCTGGGTCGGATCCGCCCTCATTTTACCGGGACCCCCTAAGTAGCGGGAGTCCTCGTCACCACCCAGAACTGCCAAAGCTGGCGGGGCGGTTCTTACCCTTTCTCGCCTTTGTTGACAAATTTCTGAACCTCCTTCACCCCGCGCCGGATCTGCTTCTGCTTCACGGCTGCAAGGACATCGCCAGGACGCGGCCGCCCGGGCTGGGTCGGATCCGCCCTCATTTTACCGGGACCCCCTAAGTAGCGGGAGTCCTCGTCACCACCCAGAACTGCCAAAGCTGGCGGGGCGGTTCTTACCCTTTCTCGCCTTTGTTGACAAATTTCTGAACCTCCTTCACCCCGCGCCGGATCTGCTTCTGCTTCACGGCTGCAAGGACATCGCGGTCAGCCG